ATATATATATATATATATATACATATATATATATGCATATATATATATCTACAATATACTACTGTATTGAGATAATAATAAATAAAAATATATATACACAGGTATATGCATATATACATATATATATATATATATGCTTCCACAAGTATACACATAGATATGAATATAAATATAAATCTATAAATATAAGTTTAAATATAAATATTAATGCGGAAGTAAATATTTATTTGCGTTAGTCTTCGTACTGTATTTGTTGCGAAGTTAAATAAAGAGTTGCTGGGCTGTACATACACCTGAAGCCGGTGAAGAACTAAAAGACATTAAAATAAACAAATTGGCTGAGCATATTAAGACACAGATGTAGCCCCTTATTCCTTTTGCTGCAGTTGCTGTTGCTGTTGCTGTTGCTGTTGCCGCTGCCGCTGCTGCTGTTGTTGCTGCTGTTGTTGTTGTTGTTGCTGTTGCTTCCTCCTCTGCTGGTGTTTTCGCTGATCCTGCTCTTGCTGCTGTTGCTGCTGCTGCCGCTGCTGCTGCTGCTGCTACTGCTGCTGCTGCTGCTGCTGCTGCTGCTGCTGCTGCTGCACGCAAGGCCTCCACTAATAAAATTGGTGGATAAGGATTCATCGCTCGAGATAATTAAAAGAAGAGAGGAACGACAAACAAAGACAGCAAAACAGCAGCAGAGACACCCGCTGTACTTGCTGCTGCTGCGCTGTTTGGCTTTGCTGCTTTAGCTGCACATTCCAAACAAAAGACAGTAAACCCTAAACCCTAAACCCTAAACCCTAAACCTCAAACCCCCAACCCCACGAATAAAGCGCGAACCCTAAACCCTAAACCCTAAACCCTTGATTTTTAATCCTTACCTTCAGTCCTTAGAGCCTCTGCACATGCAACGCAAGACACACGGAGAAAGAAATATCTTTGACTTCGGTTCAAAGACTAAACCTTAAACCCTAAACCCTAAACCCTAAACCCTAAACCCTACCTAAACCCCAAACCCTAAACCCTAAACCCCAAACCCTAAACCCCAAACCCTAAACCCTAAACCCGCAAAGTGAGCTGACCTGTCATTCTGATGTCTTGTTCAACGTGGCGCCCTGAAGAGCAGCAAAGAGAGACAGAAGACAAAAGGAGACAGTTAAAAAAACAACAAATAAAAAGTTATTGAGGGAACAGACACTTAATTAAAGCTGCAGCAGCATGAGAGACAGAGAAGAGACAAACAAAAATAAAAGAGAAGCAAACAAGCGAAGCTGCTATCAGTAAAAGACAGAGACAGCAGAAGAAAGACAAAAGGAGACAGAGACAGCAGAAGAAAGACAAAAGGGGACAGAGACAGCAAAAGAAAGATAAAATGACATAAAAGGAGACAGAGACAGCAAAAGAAAGACAAAAGGAGACAGTCAGTTAGCCGAAGAAGCAGAGACCGAAAGAGAGACAGACATCAACACAAAAAGCAGCAAAACAAGCATAACGAAACAAAGAGAGAGACAGAGAAGCAAAGAGAGAGAAACAAGAAGAGAGAGACAATAAGAGTTAGTTTGAGAGCTTAATAGATGCAACAAAAGGAGACAGTTGAAGCAGCATACCCTGCACAGCATGCGGCTGTGTCTCCTTCAGTTTAGGAAAAGAGTTTTGCAGATCTTTAGCCAGCTCTTCTTCAGTAGGTAGAGGCATTTCTTCTTGTGCATTTCCTGCTGCTTCTGCTTGTGCTTCTAGATTATCTTCTTCTGCTGCTGCTGCTGCTGCTGCAGCATCTGCTGCTCCTCCTTCCTCTCCTGCTGCTGGCAGCAAATCTCTGTCTCCTTCCTGCGTCTCTATGATATCATCATGTGCAGAGCCACCATACTTAAGCAAAGGATCTGCAGGCCCTCTATATTCTTCTTCTGCTGCTTCTGCTGCATCTGGTGATGCCTCTGCTGCTGCTGCTTCTGCTGCTGCTGCTGCTGCTGGAGTCTCCGTTCTTGCTTCTGCTGTCTCCTCCTCCACACCGGCGACATCACCCCCTAAACAACACACAAACAAAGACAAATAAACAAATGCATGCAAAGAAATGCTGCTGCTGCTGCTGCTGCTGTTGCTGTTGCTGTTGCTGCTGCTGTCGCTGCTGCTGCTGCTGTACCTCCTGCTTCTTCTAGCATTTGGTTTTCTGCTTCTGTTTGATCTGAGGGCCCCAAGAAGGAAGGAGACGGGAAGGGGACAGTCGGAGTTTGCATGTGTGCTGCTGTTTTTCGCTTGCTGCTGCTGCTGCTGCTGCTGTTGCTGCCGTAGTCATGCATTTTAATGCTTCTATGTTCTGCTCCTAG